ATGGAAGTGCAGTGCTAAATGATATCTGCAATCCTATATAATAAAGAGGTAATATGCAAATTCACCATCACTCCAATACACAAGATGGCTGGCCCCATGTGGTCAAAGATGGCTGCCTCCATGTGGACACAAGATGACCACCACAAGATGGCCAGCAGGGAGGGCAATTGTGGGCAATCAGGCCAGTAGGGGAGGACAGTTGGGAATAACCTGGCCTGCAGGGGAGGGCAGTTGGGGGCAATCAGGCCAGTAGGGGAGCAGTTAGGCATTGATCAGGCTGGCAGTGGAGCGGTTAGGGGGTGATCAGGCTGGCAGGCAGAAGAGGTTAGGGGCAATCGGGCAGGCAGACAGGCTAGCAATTGGGAGCCAGCAGTCCTGGATTGTGAGAGGGATGTCCCACTGCCTGGGATCTGGCCTAAACAGGCAGTTGGACATCTTTTGAGAGGTATCAGATTGGAGAGGGTGCAGGATGGGCTGAGGGACAACCCCTCCACCCCATGCATGAATTTCATGCATCGGACCTCTATTGTACTATAATAACAGATGTTATTATAATACAATAACATTGGAGATCTCAATGAAGTGTGGTAGCTTTCCAGAAGAAACTGGCAACAAAGCTGATCCTTAAAGAATAATTAAGTTGACAAAATAGAGTGACTGTTGAAGTTGTTAAGAGCCTAGGTCAGTGGTCAGCAAACTGTGGCTCTTGAGTCACATGAAGCTCTTTGGCCCCTTGAGTGTGGCTCTTTCATAAAATACCACTGCCTGGCGAGTTTATTTTGAAGAAGTGGCTTTAGAAGAAGTTTAAATTTAAAAAATTTGACTCTCAAAAGAAATTTCAATTGTTGTACTGTTGATATTTGGCTCTGTTGACAAATGAGTTTGCCGACCACTGGCCTAGGTGATCGGATAAACACAATTTGAATAATTAGTAACTACCTACTCTAGACCCAATTATTGCTTTAATTACTATTAGGACAAAAATAATTGTAGGATGTAGTCCTTGCCTAATTGATACCTCACAATCTATTTAGGGAGATAAGTGTATATCCAAAACAAAATGGTAATAGTACATAGTAAAGTATACACTTCAATGCATATGCAATGCATTCATTTGTTCATTCAACAAATATTTATTGTCTATTGACTATGGACAACATACTGCTCTAGAATTGGGGATATGGCAATAGACAAACACAAGGTCACTGGCCTCACACAGGTCACATTTTAGTGGATACTAGTATGGGTTAATATATGTAATATATGGTTTTTAAAAATCATCATCATCATTAATATGTTTCAGGTAATAACATACTAAACCCTAATTTTCTCAAGCAAAGAATACTGTACACAAGTAGAGGTTGTTATTAAGTCAAAAAATGCTGTCAAAAAAAATAGCCAAGCTTTCCAATAAAAGCTTTTACTAAAATATTCTGAATGGCAATTCATAACTACATTTTCCAGAAATAATAATCAATTCATCAATTTTAGGCAGTGTGAAGTATTTATAGTAAATAGAACCTTATCCTCTAAGTCAGGTTTCTGACTTAATGTATTTATACTTTCAACCAAAAGAAAGATATCCTTTGGCAAAAGCAAAGCATACTTTCTAAGCATTCCTCCAAATTCTAGAACATACATGTATTTTTTATCTTAATGTTATAAATGTACATGTTTGTGAACTTTTGGATATGGGAGAAAGATAATAATAGTTCGAAGAGTACAAGATGTGGAGAAAACATTAAAACATTAGACATTTCTCTGCTATAGAAAGGTTAAAAGAAATCACACAAAAAAGTGGCAAAGACACAAAGGCCATTTGTATTTATTGTTGCTATCCTGATGTCTGATCACTCTCAGGTATTGAGTGTGGTTTACTAATAATTCTGAAAAGAGCTATATGAAAGAGGAGAGTCATATAACGCAAGTGTTTCACCCAATCAAATGGTGATTTAAAAATTGTTTAAATTTACTGGTTTTAGAGAAAGAGGAACAGAGAGAGAGAGAAAAATCAATTTGCTGTTCCATTTATTTATGCATTCATTGCCTGTTTCTTGTATGGAGATCAAACCCACAACTTTGGTGTATCAGAATTATGCTTTAACCAACTGAGCTACCAGACCAGGGCTAACCTGGTGATATTTGAGCATATTATTTATTGTTCTTCCTCATCTGACAAGTAAATATAATGTTATTAACCTACTTCATGTTGATGTTAATTAACAAGTTACCAAGGAAAGTTGATCTGTGATTCAATTCATCACATCAAGAACCAGTGCCATTAACAGTTAACAGTTCCAGCACTTGCATACATTGCTCCTCATCTTGTTTAGTTGCAAGACCAAAAAGGTTGAGGAATGATATTTGAGAGTGTATCAGGGGTGACTTTTAGTCACAGCCAGTGTCTTGTGAAGAACATTTAAAAGAATCCATTCTATCAAACTTCAAGGAAGGTACACCTACAGGTAGATTAACATAAATTATCATCTAGCTGCATCTAGCACTGATAACATCCATTCTACATCAAACACTTTCCTGAGAGTGATTCCATGAGCTGCATAATAATCACCTTGCTTTGATTAATTGTTTTGTTGAATTAATGGATGAATTAATTGCACTTAAATACAGATAGTCCTAGTTTCTGCAGTGTATTGCTTCTTATCCTAACTTGGAATCAAAATAGCAGTACAAATTCTAGTACTAAGCATACCAAATGGTTACAGTAAAATGATTTCCATTTGAATTATCAAAATAAATACATTACATGAAATTTGGAACTTGATGTGATGAAAACCTCTAATTAAGGGAAACTTATGAGAGCCTTTAGCAAGTTCTTGGCTGAATGCAATTATTTGGTTTCTTGATCCTCAGACCAATTAGATTAACAATGACAAAAGATATGCAAATTTAAACAGACAATAGTCAAGCTGCTCTGACTCATACAGACAGGGATGTTTTCAGCATATATTCAGCTTGATGCACACTAGCAACATTTAGGGTGATAGTTATGCTTGGCTACAATCTGAAAACTATACAATAATCACTGACCAAAAACAATACAAACAAAAATCTAATTTATTTCACACAATAAGTTAACATTTGAAACATGTGAATGATTCAAGCCCAGTAGAATCGTATGTTTACCTGTCACTGATGAATAATTGCATAGCAACAAAAATATGCATAAATAGGTTTAACTTATCATTTAATAGTATATTTTAAGCAAACAAAATATTATATTTTTGGTAGAATAGCCCATTCAAAACAACCAGGGACTAAACTTCCTTCCGTACCCCACTCAAAGAATCCAGGCTAATTTAAAATGATTGAATTATCATTAACAACTATATGGAAAGTATACTGAGAATAGAAATAAGCAATTCAATCAAATTCCTTTGTTTATTATGAAAATAAGTTTGTTTTTAAAAAAAAAAAAAAACACAAAACAGATATCCTATTATAATGGCTGTTGAAATTTAAGTTATAACTATCAAAAGAGTACAGAATTCTGTCTGCTTTCTATTCTTCTATTTATCCTCCCCCACCCACCGACTCCCCAACCCCCACCTTATAGTCCACAATAGAAAGATTAACTACAATTATGGGTTTGGAAACTCTAAAACTACAATTTCAGTGAACTTGTCAAATAAAATAACAGTGATCTTAGTTCAGTCCCTAGTGGACAAAAGTAGAATAACTATTACTCGGCATGATTCAGCAAGAGATGATGTGACTGAGTGTGACCACACAGGAACATAAAAGAGAATTTATCCTTTCCCTATCTTTTATCTCCTTAAAAGGTTTGCTCTGTTAATTGACTAACTTAAAGAAGACCAGACCAGTTGCATACCTATATATATGCACTAAGTAGGGTTTTTGCAAAGATCCCTGGGAGGTGGAGGGGAAGCTTTTCACAAATAGGGATATTTGCTCCTCCCTACCCCCCCCCCCCTTATAGTAGCACTTGTTGTCTGCTGCTTACCTGTTACACATTTAAACAGAGCAAAGAGAGGATGAACTGCAAGAACTGTTTCATATTTTAACAGGCATAGTTTCAATAAAACAATTGTAAGTAGTATTATAGTGAAATACTGAATAAAATATTCCATTTAATTTCTATAAATTGGGATTATGTGCATATTCAATATTAACTTTCATCTGGATACCTACATTTCCACATGGTACTGTATGAACTACCATACCCTGAAGGCAACTCAGGGATATAGACAAGATATAGCCTAGCCTACAAGCTGTGTCCAGCCCAAGTCTACAGGTGCACGCCTTTTGAAATAGCCACCACCGGCTCTATTTCTCCTTTCCTGGTGAGCAAACAGCCTCTTCCTGATGCAGTCACATTCAAAAGTATCCTCCTGATCTTTTCTCCTCAAAGGCAGAAGAAAATATGACAGAAATAAAGAAAAAATCAGTCCCCTGCTATTCTACTACTTGCTAAAACTTAGTTCCCTTTACAAACTTGTACAATTACTTCAACCAAATATCACACTGTATATGTAATCTCATTTCACGTTAATTTACTAGTGGTTGAAAAATTAGTATTTAGTGATAATTTCCCATCCTGGCTGCATAACAATTCCTGGTGTAAAATCTATTTGATCCTAAATTAGTAATATCCTTATTATTTTGTTTTTTGGCAACTTGCTCAAAACGTACTTTTTTTTTTAAGTTGGGATTTGGACCATAGAAAAGCTCAAGCTAAATTTTAAGTAAGAGGGGGAAAAAAAGAGATGTCACAAAACATGCCTTTGCTAGGCACACAAATGGGGTGCCATCCTACCTCCCTAAGCTCCCACAAACCTAAAACCCTTGGCTCCCCCGGGGAGTCCCAGAGAGAAAGCCCTCTTGCATATGCAAACACTGCCCCCCTGGAGCAATAGGTAAACACACAAAATGCTCTCCGAAGGATCTCTTAAGTTTGCTCCAGTGCAAGAACGAAAAAAAAAAAGGCTCCGTGCAATGAGAAACCGAAAGCAACCACTTACTTTTTGCAGCCACTGAGTGTAGTTTTCCAGCACATGCTCCAGATGTTGAAGTTTCTGGGAAGAGAAATCCGGTTCCACGTGTGGGGCATCTCTCTGCAGAGCGTTTGGGTTGTACTGGTCTGTCCTGCTCTCACGACAGTTCCCGTCATGTTCTGGAAGAATGAAAGTGTAGGCACATTGCCCATACTGAATCCGGCTATATCTTCTCCCACCGTTCTCTGGATTTCGGCGCTGGTTGCTGCAGCCTACGGGAGTCAGAATGGCAGCGAGGAAAGCTAAGGAAAGGAAAACTGTCATTGTACTGCCAGCGCGCTCTCTCTCCGTGCCTCTCGCAAAACTTGCTCCTTTTCTTCTGACCTTTAAGCTACTTCTTTATTTCAGGTAAAATTGCTTGCCTCTGACTTTTTCCCCCCAGTCCAAAGAAAGCTTTTGAAGAAGAATCAGAGAAAACTAGCCATTTGTTAAGCTTTGTTCTAGAATGTTATTTTTTTTTTTAATTTCACTGTAATGATAGTTTCCCTTAGTTAAAACTTGAGATATTTATTGCATAGTAGCTGAGATTTATTGTTTCCTCTCTGTGTAACCGTTCAGCGTGGAGCCTGCCTGAGTCAGCTGCGTGTACATACTCTAGACCCTTTCCTCTACCCTATCTGCTGCAGATCTGCTATTTTCTCCCAGACCTCAGTGAGTTTTATTAAGGTTGAACATCCAAGCCAAGCTGGAAGCAGGCAGCCTTTCACAAGATGACTTGACAGGAATGCATGAGGGTGCCCCTTCGCAAGGATTGCTTGATGGCTTGGAGTAGCAGGATCGTCTTACAAATTGGCTAGATGCGCATGACCTCGATCATGTATGGCCCTCCCGCCCCTTCCGCAGACAATTGTCTGGAGCCTTTAGCAGACTTGTGGCAAATCAATAAATAGAGCAGTCCACCTTAATACACTTTTAGTGTGCATGCTGACCTACTAACTAGCAAACTAGCAGTATGTTTTTTAAAGCGTCTGTTGAATTGGAAAATCCCTAAGAAGAAAATTGGCATAGCGTTCAGTGAGATTATTTTTATTATTATTTATGAATGATAAATCTGTATAATTATAAATTTTTAAAAAATTATTATTGATCCTGGAGAAAAAAATTAAAAACCATTTTTGAGGATGGTATTCTTTTACTGTATTCACTTAGACTTTTTGGAGTTGGAGAAAATTATCAAATTAGCAAAATATTTCACAACTTATCACTCAGAGGACTATAGCATATGCATATTAAGTAGAATAATATGAGTACTTTTTAAGATATAGGTTTTAAATGAAACTAGTTCCTGATTAGAAGGCAGCCCTGTGTGTACTGTATACAAATTGAGCAACTTCTTTACAAAAACAGTGTGGTTACAATTTAAGACAGTGGCCTGGGAATTATTAATTCCTGTGGTATATCCTAATTATATATTTCACAGAGATCTCTTCAGAGTTGCTATCTTTACTACTGCCACAGAAATTTCACATAAATTTTCCTGTGGCTGCATAGACACACTATCTGAAGAAAAAGCATGTATCAGGTGTGCCCATGGGACAGGAAAAGGCTGGGGGAAATCTCTGTGCCTCTTCTATTAAGTAAAGAGCAAACATTGTCAGAGGGTGATTTCCCAAGTCTAGGGTATAAACATTTGAACAAAGGGATCAGTAAAACATTAAAAAAAAAAGCAGGTGATAATTACAGAATTAAGGTTACAGCACTGAGATCTTTACTGTGTGCAGAAAACATGAATTATGAGCAGTGGCTTTCATCAAGAACTGGGAGGGATTTTATGGAATGGAGTTTCTCAACTGTAGTCATGATGTGAAAACAGAAGCCACAGATGTTGACTCATGTCCTGGAAAGGTGGGGGGTGAGAGGTTAGAGATTGTCATGCTGGGAGAAGTTAGAGGAGAGAGCAAAACACATTCCAGAAAGACTGTGATTTACTTGGAAGAAATAAAATGCGCTGAGATGCGCCAGTCCTTTCCACACCAAAAGTACAAGCTTCTGACCTGACAGAGACAGAAGCACGTAATACCAAACATAGAAATAAAATCTTTGAACGGCTTTTGCAGTTTCATCCTGACGTTGTATGTCTCCTGTTGCTAATATGCCACTCACTTGTAATAATTATAAGGACATTTATTAAAAGGTTACTATTTCCAGGCATGTGCTAAGCACTCCTTCCACAAAATCTCATTTAATTATCCCAACAAACCTGAGACATGAATAATAAGCTAACCCCCATTTTTCAGCTGGGAAAACTGAGTCATAGAAAGGCTAACTGGTCACAACTCACCTAACTAGTAAGTAATGATGCTAGTGTTCCTAGCCTGTGCTTCTAACCTCTTAGCCAGCCAAAAAGTTTCCCCAAGGGCTCCAGCTGCACTGATTCACAGTTCTAAAGCAAGTTAACTGATGGGATTTAGGGGGATAAAAACCAACTTATTAAAAACCAGTTTCTGATGCTAAAGTGATTTAATCCTTTCTCTGTACCCAAAAAACACGGGGGGGGGGGGGGGGAGAGGGAGTGATAGGTAACCCATATCATCAAGTTTTTAAGGACCCATAAGGATGAAACAGATGGCAAAGCATAGATCTGACTAAGGATACTCCCTAGCACTGCTTGTTTTGAAAATTATCCCTGAAAAAAAAGAAAGTCCAAAACCAACACTTATAAGTGCTTTGTTAAGAACTAAATATAGCTGACAATTGGCAGAAGACACCCGTGTGAGCAGTGAGTGCTTTATTACAGGGCTCCTGTCTTGTTTTTTTAACAGCAAGATTGTTAAACACCGGTTCTCGTGTCTGTGTGTGTATCTACCTGTGCTTGCGCATATAAACTTTTCCAGTTGAAAAATAAAAAGAAGGAATGCACAATTCCTGAGTGAAGAGTAGACAAACTAATATAGAGAAGCCAGAAATAAAATACAAAAGGGAGAGTGTGGACATAGAGACAATGAAAGAGATAGAGACTGACTGATTTCTTTTCCAGGAAAAAACAAAACAAACAAAACAAAAAAAACCCACACATGATATTGAAAGTGTCAATCTGGAAGAAAAAAAAAAGTCTCAAGATCAATTTAGAGTAGCTAGAAAACACAGGGACATCGGAATGGACGTATATGCTTTGGGACTCAATCTGAAGAGACACTGAATGCATCTGAAGATCCTAATGATAAGCTAAAGACTATATGCTTTCAGTGACCTGAACCTAACCAATAGCAATACTGCTACTGTTGGTGGTGATTATTAAATGATGCAGTTTAAAAATGGTACAGTATAGGATTGGGATTTTGGAAGTAGTATGAAGAACAAGACATATTTATTTATTTTTTAAAATTCTCTACCACATCTCCAAAAAAAAAAGGTTTAAAAATGTTCTAGAGAACTAAACAATTCTGTTCAGTTGTATTCTGAGGGAGCTTGGTTTTAAAAGCTTTTATATTTTTCTTGCATTAGCAGAGCTCTGGAATAGTGAGGTGTATGCTTTGAGATTCTGATCCTGGCTCTGGCCAAGTATTTCAGGTGGTTAGAGCATCAGCCCACTACACCAAGGTTGTGGGTTTGATCCCTCATCAGTGCATATACAAGAATCAATCAATGAATGCACAAATAACATTGATTGAACAACAATCAGTGGATAGAGAATTGGCCTGCGGACTGGTCAAGGGCACATGCCTGGGTTTATAGGCTCGATCCCCAGAAGGGGACTTATAGGAGGCAGCCAATCAGTCAATGATTCCCTCTCATCATTAATATTTCTATCTCTCCCTCTCCCTTTCTCTCTGACATCAATAAAAATATATTGAGAAAGGAAAAAAACAAAAAGTAGCCATTCTTTTTTTTCTCCCTCCTGTACTTAGTTTTATCAATTCTTATCGTTAGCCTAAGGTCTCTCAACCCTTAACCTTTAGCTCCACCAGGGAACTTAAAAAAAAAAAAAAAAAAACAGCTGAAGGAAAATTAGCCCTTTATCATAAAACAAAGAGGTCTGAAATTCCAAGAAACTCACCAAAGTCCACCAGATGCAAAGTGAAGAACTGGTGGGGCACAATGGGCCCCCGCTGGTACCTAGCACTGGTCCAGGTCATGGTCCTCGGTTGTTGGCGCCTCTGGAATTCTGCCTCAGAATCTGAGTCACAGCACCATAATGTTGGGGACTGTGGAGTCAAATGGGACATGGGTTCAACAACCTCAGTACTTGAGTTCTGGCTAGGAAAAAATTCAGAGCCAAAACTCAAACATCTCAAGTCAAATTTATAGGAAAGATTCCTTTATTAACTTTTGGTCGAGAATATGTTTGTATATTTTCAGAAAACAACTCCGAGACCATGTGGATTCCTGCAACAGAGAGGAATTGACAGGAGTGATCCAGCCATGAAGACAGAAGAGAAACAGTCCAAAGATGGAAGACACTGACAATGCCTTGAATACTAGCAGTCAGCAGCTGTGCATCACTGCAGGTTGCCCAGGACCAAACCAGAGAAGGTCAGACCTGTATTACCACCATTTGTCCACCATCCAGAACTGAAATATCATTGCTGACATGTACACATAAGAAACTGTTTGACATAGAAATTGGAACTCAAAAAGAACTGTTGGCCAGAAAGAAATTCACTATAGATTGATTCATTTGCCTCTCAGCATAACCATTATTGCTTGTCTCATTTTCAGTTCTTATAAGTGTATTTCTAGTATCACATGAGCTCACTCATTTAGGGAAAATGATGAACAACATACACTGATGAACAAGAACACCATTGATCAGACTGTCGGACCTCAGAGGGAAGGTAGGGGAGGGTGGGGATAAGAAGAGAGATCAACCAAGGACTTGTGTGCATGCATATGAGTCTAACCAGTGGTCATGGACAACAGTGGGGAAGGAGCATGTGTAGGGAGAGGTTTGGGATAAGAAGGGGGGTGGAGGGAGATGATGACAAATATGTGATACCTTAATCAATAAAGTAATAAAAATTTAAATTAAATGTTAAAATATTCATTAAAAAAGACTCAAACTATAAGATAGCATTTATTTAGAAAATTGCAGAAGTAGAAGAAATAATTTCTAGAAGAAATGGGCTGAGGAAATAAGTTATAGAGAGAAAGGAAAGGTCCGAGGAGCTTGAGAGTGAGGAGGGTAATGGTAATGCACCTGGGGGAGGAGAAGGAGGAAGGGAAAGGCACTGGTGTGCTTCCAAGAGGGAGAGTGGGCTGGGTCTTCCGTCCTAAGGGGCTTAAGGGTGAAGATTTAGGGGAGGTCCCAGAAAAAGATCTCCATA